TGGGAGGCCGAGGCGAGCGGATTGCTCGAGGGCGGGAGTTCGAAACCACCCTGAGCAAGAGTGAGACCCCCGTCTCTACTATAAACAGAAAGAAATTAATTGGCCAACTAATATATATAGAAAAAATTAGCCGGGCATGGTGGTGCATGCCTGTAGTCCCAGCTACTTGGGAGGCTGAGGCAGAAGGATTGCTTGAGCCCAGGAGATTGAGGTTGCTATGAGCTAGGCTGACTCCACGGCACTCATTCTAGCCTGGACAACAAAGCGAGACTGTCTCCAAAAAAAAAAAAAAAAAAATTAATAAAGCAAGAACATCTTAGTGATCCTCCATCTATTAAGTAAATTAAAACTTGCAATTAAAACATTTGCTGGGCCAATTCTTATTATCTCTCAACTCAAAAATAACTTTGTAGCATGCCAAATATGTCTTCTTAAAAGGTGAAGAAAATGAAGCTGTGAGATGTTAAGTAGCTTAGACAAAGTTAGCTATTTGGAGGAGTTTAATCGACAAACATATATTCTATACCTACTACATGAAGCAAGAAATGTAAACTAACATATTTTAAAACTAGAATAGTTAGTTTTTGCATTTTATCTCCCTTAACTCCTCATAGCACTTAATTATACATGAAAAAAAAACTCAGATTCAAATGAATAAGTGACTGCCTACAGGTAATGAGTAGTGGCCCAGGGCATAGGACTTGAGACAGTTGCCACTTTGTGGCTGAGTGACCTTGGTTACACTCCTTTGAGCACTGTTAACACTTCCGGAAGGGGTGGGTCAGAGAGATTTGGTTTATAATTCTGAGACAGGCACTTGTGTGACCTTAGGTCCATTATCAAACTCTCTGTGCTTCAGTTTCCTCAAATATGAAGTGAGAATAACAATCATACCAACCTCACAGACTAATTGTGAGGATTGTGCAGTTAATACATGCATTGTGCTTAGAACGGTATGTGTTACCCAGCATCTGCTAAGGAAATGGGTCTTTTATTGGAGCCACCATTCAAATTAAGGTTCCTAAAGCACCATAACCCATTTCAGAATAAGCTCTTATCAGAGAGGCTTCTCAAAAGAAGAATGATAATGATATTGGGTGGGATTAGGCACATGATCAGGGAAAGAAACTGTCTGAAAAGATGAGAGGAAATATAAAGCCTCTTTGGCTTCTGAATGAGACAAGAAATCTAAGAGTGCCTGTGTTTATGAGAAGAGTGGTGGGAGGATTAGGGTCATGTTTTCAGAGCCAGAGCCCAGGAGTCTATATTAAGAAGTCCCTAGAGATGAGCGGGCAGGGGCAGCAAGGAAGGGAGATGAGATAGCAAGTGTTTGGAAAAAACTTCTCTGAGCCTACCTCCCCGGGTGGGAGGTAAACTGGGCCCATCCAAGCACGCTCCCAGGAGCCTCCCCTGAGCCTGATTCTCACCTGCCTCTGGGGCTGGGGGTTCTCTCCCTTCCCTGTGCCCCTTGTGGCCTCAAACAGTCAGCCCTAGCTCTGGGGACTCGGCCTCAGGGTGATAAGACTCATAGAAAAGGAAAAAAGGCTCCTAGGTCCAGTTTCCATCTACCACACATACACTGAGCCAGGCAAGACCAAAGCAGACACTGAATGATGTTCAGTGGTCGGTAGGTGAAGTGGCGGCCATACCAGCTGTACTATTGATCAGGGATCAGAGAGATGGGATTGATGATAAGGGATTTGAAAACAAATACTATTATGAAATCATAATAGTAAAGGCTTAGTGAAAAGATGACTTAAATAACAGGGACTCAGAATATTCAGTTTTGAGACTTAGAGTATCAAATTGGGAAGAGATTTTAAAGGCAATCTTGTACACCATCCTCTACAGTTGATGCTTAAATTCACCTGACAACCAGGAAATTGTCTAACATCTGCTTTGAGAATGTAGAGAGACAAGAAGTTGTCCTGTGTGCGGCCACAGACTGGCCATGTGCTGGCACAGATGACAAAAAGTAGAGATTTCTGAAAATTTTATTCATGAAATAGAGCCTGTGGCCAAGAAAGTCTAATGACATATAGATGGTCCCTGACCTACAATGGCTTAATTTATAATTTTTCTACTTTACCATGGTGTGAAACCAATATTCATTCAGTAGAAACCAGACTTCAATACAGTATTTAATAAATTCCCTGAGATATTCAACATTTTATCATAAAATAGGCTTTGTATTAGATGATTTTGCCCAACTGTAGGCTAATGTAAGTATTCTGAACATGTTTAAGGTAGATGAGGCTAAGCTATCATGTTTAATAGATTATGCATGTTATGAATAAATGCATTTTTAATTTACATTATTTTCCATTTATGATGATTTATTGGGATGTAACCCCATTATAAGTCAAGGAGTATCTATATTGTATTCTCTCAGGTGAAACTGCATTTGAATAGGCTTCACCTAGAGAAGGCCTTACTTACACAGGTTCTCTAATTGGAGGATTAAAGACATTTGGCGACCCAAGAATTTAAGGTCCAAGGTCTTCAGGATGCTCCTGAAATAATTCCATGTTTGCTCGACCTTACTTGACTTACACAAGTAGTTGATTTCAGAAAAGCTAATTCGTAGAAAGAGGAAACATCATTGATAATAGCTCCTTGCACACAAAAGATGATCAACAGTTTTTCTTTGATTTAATTTCTGTGGGTCAGTGGGAGTGATGATGGGTCCAACCACAGGATTAAGGGACGTGAAGTCAGACTAAGTTTGAAATGATAAGTTCATTAGAATATATTGAGCTTAAAATGTTGAGAGGACAACATAAAGGATGTATTCAGGCACAATTGGGGAAAACAGAACTTAAATTCAGGCTAGAAAAAAAAATCAAGTACATTAGAAAAACATTGAGTTCGCAGTTCTATGCTTTTTTGTTACAGATATTAGTAGATCAATATACAATAATTAATGAAGTGCTATGTTTATGCTTAAAGAGCTTAATGATTTATGGAGAAGACAGATTTGTTTAAAAAAAAGTAATGCACTATGCTAAATATAAATCTTATGAAGACATAGAAGAAGGAATGCATATTAATAACTTTTAGGGGGGGAGTTAGGAAAGATGTCTTTAAAGAGTTAGGATTTTGATGGATGAGAAGCAGTTGCCAGATGGAAAAAAGAACAGAGGTGAACCCCCACCAGATGCAAATTTTCAGGAGGGTCAAAGGTATCAGAAATGGGATAAAGCAAGGATTTCTGTCTTAAAATATCTGTCTCCTGTGACTGGAGAGGTGAATATACAGTCTCTTTAGACTAGAAGTGATTCAAGAAGAGTTTTTTATATACCAGTTGCCTTTGAATGAACTTGGTATTCTAAAATATCAAACCCCACAGTTTATTTGTAGGTCAGGGCATTTAGAGTCCAAAGGAATGTTTGGAGTTGAGTGGGTGGTATGAGTTGAAGGGCAAGTATTGGTTTACAAATTATTACATTAATTGTTTAAATTAATTAGTTCAGTTAATATTTTATTGAATGCTTTTAAGGTGACAGTCATTGTGACAAGCATTAGGATGATGAAAATGAGCAAGAGACTGCCGTTTGTTAGTATGATCACTGGAATTGGACAACCCTCTTCAAATGCAGCCTGATCTACACAGGGTATGATGTGACTGACAGTCGCTATCATTTTATGCATTTAAAGTCACGTGATGTATTTTGTTATTCTTTTCTTTTCCTTTTTTTTTTTTGCATCTTCTTCACATTTTGCTTGAGAGTAATCAGAATGTCCAACACTTTTTTTTACATGAAATTTCACCACGCAAGTTTCGTATTCCTCACCCGTACTTATAAAATTGGTTTTCTGAAAATACAGAAATTTATGCTTATTGCCACTTTGTCATATTTGGTTTACAACATGCATTCATACCCCACATACGCTAATCATCCCACTCATCTTCCATCAGCACCCCCACAAGGCAAATTCAAACCTTCATCTCTGAGCTTGAGTTTAGAGATGCTCAAAATAGTTCAATTTCAGTTATGTTTTAAAAATCTATATCTGACCATATCACTTATTTATCTAACATGCTTCCGTGATGCCCCATGTCTATTCAGATAAGGTGCCAAGTCACTGGGTGAACTTTCCCAGTTGCTTCACCATACAGGGATACAGGGAAATGTGTCTCCCTAACTCAGGATGCCTGCTTGCCCAGGACTTTTATTAAATTTTTGTCTGAAATATTTCTTTTCCTCTTTTATCTAACTGATTCCTACCCTTATTGGAAAATTCAGCTCAAGGCTTCCACTAAGAATCCTTTTTCAGTCTTCCTGGTCCTCTGAGACATGAGCCCCTTCTTTGGCATTCCACAGTGTTCCGTACTTCACACGTGGTATTGAGGTGACCGATTGATGGGTCCGCTTCCCTATGAGGTTGTAAGCCTTCTGGGGGCAGAGATTATAATTTGTAGAATTTTATATTCCTTATGTCTGACACACATATTTAATAAATGTTTATATAGGTGAACTAAAACAATAGGAAAAGACTTGCTACTTACGTTAACCTCATACACAAGATGCACCCTTTGAGATTTGACTAAATGAATGACTATGGCCTGGGGAGAAGGGATAGAATGTTTGGGGAAGGTCACATAGTATAGAAATAAACAGCACGGAGAACATCGATTCAAATTTTGTTTCTGCAAAATAGTATCTATAGAAAATGGAAAAGTGTCATAATTTCTTTATTCTATTTCTGGATTTTCTCATTTATAAAATAGGCATAACATTAGTACTTATCTCATCGGACTACAAAAATTAAGGGAGATGTTGAATGCAAAACACTTGTGAAAATGTTTGATGCATAGTAAGTGCTAATAAGAGTTAGCTATTACTATTTTTAGGGTAGTATTAATAGTAGTAACAGTAATAGTAGTAATTAAAGTGCTGCCTTCAAATTAGGAGAAAAAGAGAAATGAAATTTTGATTTGGATTTAGCAGTTACGACAATATGGTTTTTTCTTCTTTCCTTCTTCACCTCAGCCTCCCATGGAAGGACACAACCACTCGAGTCTGGCTCACTTTGTGCTCCTTGGTTTCCCCAGTGTGGGACATGTCAGGGGCTGGCTCTTTGTCCTGCTGCTCTTGGCATACCTGTTCACCATTTGCGGCAACATGCTCATCTTCTTAGTCATACGACTGGATGCCGCCCTGCACACGCCCATGTACCACTTTGCCAGTGTTCTCTCCTTTTTAGAGCTGTGGTACACAGCCACCACCATCCCTAAGATGCTAGCTAATCTTCTCAGTGAGAAGAAGACCATTTCTTTTGTGGGCTGCCTCCTTCAGACCTATTTCTTCCACTCCCTGGGGGCCTCTGAATGCTATCTTCTCACAGCCATGGCCTATGACCGCTACCTGGCCATCTGCCGGCCCCTCCACTACCCTGCAATTATGACTACCACACTCTGTGCTAAGATGGCTGCGGTTTGTTGGACTTGTGGCTTCCTGTGTCCCATTTCTGAGGTCATCCTGGTCTCCCAGCTCCCCTTCTGTGGCTACAATGAAATCCAACACATCTTCTGTGACTTTCCACCTCTGCTGAGCTTGGCCTGCAAGGACACATCCACTAATGTTGTGGTGGACTTTGCCATCAATGCCTTCATCATCCTCGTTACCTTCCTGTTTATCATGGTTTCTTATGTAAGAATCATTGGGGCTGTGCTGAAGATAAAAACAGCAGTAGGAAGAAAAAAGGCCTTCTCTACATGTGCCTCACATCTCACTGTGGTCCTCGTCTTCTTTGGGAGCATCATCTTCATGTACGTGAGGTTAAAGAAGAGCTATTCACTGACCCTTGATCGGACACTTGCTGTAGTTTACTCTGTGCTCACACCACTGATCAACCCAATTATCTATAGTCTTCGTAACAAGGAACTCATTAAGGCCATCAAGAGGACCTTCCAGAAGGGGAGGAAAGCTAGTCCCACTCACCATTGACTTTCTTCCTACGTCCTTCCTCCACCTCAATGTTCACTTCATGAAAATCCTACATACCTTTGGCCTGGCCTTGAATAATGTTCCCATCATCACACATGTTCTGGATCCCATCTCCTCTAGCCTTCGCAAAGACATTATTTCTTTATGATTTTCTTGTTTCCTATATCGTTACCTTTTCTCATTTCCACTTGATCAGTTCTGTCAGCATTTAATAATATGTTAGTATCTACATTCTTTACATATAGAGTATACATTTTCTTGGCCACATATTTCCATCCAGCTAGAGGTCAATTTCTCTACTCCTTTTTCTGATTAAACTTCTCTATACAACCCATCTCCTCTTCTTTACTGTCAGTTCATTTTTTAACATATTCGTATCTAGTTTTGATTCAGACCTTCCAATCAATATTTTGCATGACCTCCATGCTGCCAAATCCATTAGATCCTTCTTGTCCTTCCTTTTTCCTGAAATCTTGACACACATGACCAGTCTTTACTTCTTAATAGCATTTGTCTCTTACCTTCCATTGACATGATTATCTCCCAATTGTTTTTTTAATCTTTCTAATTAGTCTTTCTCAGCCTCTTTTTTCCTGTATCATTATCTACCTCGATACACAAAATTACTCTTTAAGGCTCTAAATACCATCCCTATCTATGCCAAGGGCTCTTAAATTTATATCTCCAAACCAGAAATCTCTCCTGAACTTTAGACTTATATGTTCAAGTGCTTACTTAATATCATTACCTGGATGTAAATTCCCAAGAATTAAAAACTTAATATATCAAAAATTAAATCTTTAATTTCCAAATCTGAAAATTGGTGATGCTTTTATTCCCCTGTGTTTTTGCCAGGAAATTTTAAATATTCTATTTTGCTTCCTCTTCTTCCACTTCTATTTCCAATTCATTACTAGTGTATGCCAATACTTACAAAAAATACGTCTTTAAATCTGTTTATTTCTTATTCTCTTTAGTATTACTATCCTCATGTAAATCATCAATATCTCCCAACTGCATTAATACAATAATATTCTACCCATTCTCCTTTCTCTTACTCTTGTTTTGTTCTAATATATTTTTCTACATAAAATCCAAAGTGATGCTTTTTAAACCTAAGTTGATTATACCATTTGTAAGTGGTTCCCAGTTGCATTTAAAATAAAATCCAAAGCCTCATCATACTCTATAAGGCTAAGTAAAATTTTTACCTGCCTTCCTCTCTAACCTTGACTGGTACCTCTTCTCCCTCAGCATACCCTTCCTAGCCACATGATCTTCCTTTGAGTTCTTCAAATACATTTAAGAGTTTTCTGGTTTAGGACCTTCATCCTTTTTTCCCTCCAACATTTCATTTGGCTTACTCTTTATAATTGTGTGAATCTCTGCTCAAATATCACTTTCAAGTGATGCAAACTTTGAGAGGATTTCTGAACATGCAGCCTAATTTTTGTTAATGTGTTTGTCTTTGAAATTATGTTTCACTTTCTTTCAAAGTATGTATAGCAATTTATATGTGTATGCATGTTTGTGTATATGTAGATATAGGTATATATATAGATATAGTTCATCATTATTTCCTACAAGTCTATAAAGTACATTTGATCTGGAATTATTTCAGTTTTGTTACTTGCTATATGTCCAAATCTAGCATGGTGTCTAAACATAGTAATTATTCAATAAAAGTGTGATGAATAAAAAATGCAATGAATCTTACCCACCCCGGTTAATTGGTACTTAACAATGCCATCCTGATTCTAATCACTACTGAAACCCACTTTTCATAGAGTTCATTGATCTACCCTAGTGTAATTCACCTCTGTCTTCTACACAAGCAGCCTCAACTTGTCTCAAATTGTAAATGCTTTTTGAATATCTTTGATAAAACTGATAACTAGTTCTTAGCCATTAATGAAGTGCCAGACTAGGTTATCTTTTCTGGATCTCTATTTCTTTATTGATAAGCTGTGGTGGGTAAGTAAGCTATCTTGAGATGATGTTCATCACTAACATTATACAGTTCTAAGATTCCATGAAACCCTTTATTTTCTTATATGTCCTTGGTGGCTCTTGAATCCAAGGCTAACAATTTGTCATAAATAAATGAGAGTTTTTTTCTGAGTAATAAATTTCCCACAATTGTTGAAGATTTTTGGAGTATCTATAAATGTTTCTGCATAGTCATACAATTATTTCAAATATAAGACTTTTCTTAGCCATGCAGACAGATTAGTAGAATACTTGAAACTATTTTTCTTGTGTACTGTTTACAAATATACATGGAGTTGTAAAAATTACATATATACTCACATATGTAACACATATGTACACATATACACGCATATGTAACTTTTACATCTCCATGGAACAAAGAGGACAGAAGTCATCATCCTCATATGTGAGTGAGAATATCCCAGGATTTCTTTACTAACATTTTATTTTATCTTCCTTCCTATTTCTGTGTCCATTTCTTTCTACATATTTTTGTATATGGCTCAAATAGGTTGAAGTTTCTAGGCTCTGTTGTTGATTGCTTACATATTCAAGATTGTTATGTCTCCTTGGTGAATGGACCCTTTCACCTTTGTACATACCATTTAAAAAATCTCTGATAATATTTATCTTTTCTGAAATCTACTTTGGTTTATATTAATTTAGCTATTGTAACTTTTTATTAGTGCTTGCACGGTATATCTGTTTCCACCCATTTATTTTATTTTTTATTTCAAAATATTAAGGAGGTACTGATGTTTTTGATACATGGCTTGAGTCACAGCCATAAAAGTGCCCATTACGTGAATAGTGTCTGTTGTACACATTAGGTGGGCTTTTGCCCTTCTCCTCCTCCCTCCCCCCTGCTTGATTTCCACTGAGGTTCACTTCCCTCTCTGTATTTCTGTGCCCATCAATTAGTTCCAATTTATTAGAGAGTACATGTGGTGTGGTATTTATTTTTCCATTCTTAAGATACTTTGCTTAGGATAATGGTCTCCAGTTCCTTCCAAATGACTTCAAAAGGCATTCATTCACCCTTTTAAAGGCTAAGTAGTACTCCATGGTATACATATACCACATTTTGTTAATCCACTCATGAATTGACGGGCACTTGGGCTGATTCCACATCTTTGCAATTGTGAATTGTGCTGCAATAAACATTTGAGTACAGGTAGGTGTCTTTTTGATAAAATGACTTCTTTTCCTTTGGGTAGATACCCAGCAGTGGGATTGGTGGATCAAATGGATGCTGGATTTACTTTTAGTTCTTTGAGGAATCTCCATATTGTTTTCCATAGAGATTGTACTAATTTGTAGTCCCACCAACAATGCATAAGTATTACACTATCTAGGCAGTTGTCATGGGTTCCTGGGCTGTGGGCGTTTACTCAAACCAGGACACAGGATCCTGGTGGCTGAAGGCTGGGGACGTCCCTGTCAGGGTGTTGGACTTTTGAAAAGTTTTTTGCTTCCAGTGCTGATGACAGTGGTGGAGGCTCTGGAGTGGGATCTCGGGGCCCAGGTGCAGTGCTATAATCTTGGGGATGATGTTCCAGGCCTGGTCTGGGCTCTGGAGGCACAGAGATAGAGCCTGAGGATCCAGCGTGAGAACCTCAGAGCCGGGACTGGGGAGGAGCCTGAAGCAAGCCTTCTGAGCAGGGCCTCTGAGCCAGCAGCAGGGCTATTAAAAACTGTGTTAGTGTTTGTTTAAGTCTTTTAATGTTGTGGGGTAGAAGGTGGATGAAATCATTTTTGCTGAGAGTCTATAGTTTTTATAGGCCAGATTTGAGGTTTAGTCAAGAAATGGGCTCAGAGAAGCCTGGCTAGTGTTTGACCAGGAAGAGAATCTTTGTTAGGGTTAGCCAGCTATTAACATCTACTCCTACACAAGTAGAAATAGGATATCAATTGGAGGGGAAATAGCAGAATTGGTGGAGATCTTTTAAGGATAGAGAGTATTCTAGTCCACAGAAAAGAAGTGATTGAAAATTAAATACAGAGGGGTAGGAAATTTATTTAAAGAGGTAGTGGTTATTTAGCTCATAACTATCTTATAGAGATTTAGAGAACCTGAATAAACCCATAGTCATTAAGTAAATAAAATTATTAGTTAAAATCTATCTATAATAATCAAAGGAAAAGAAAAAACACCAACTCAAAAATTAAATTATTAAAAATCTACATACCACACACAAAAAATCAAACTCTTGCAACTCAGTTTCCAAGAAAGAAAATCTTCATGAAAGAGATTAAGAGACAGAGAAAGAAAAACCTGGATGAAAAATCTTGAAGATGTGGATGGAAGTGGGAAAGTGAAAAAATATTTAAATCTTTTCACAGTACATATTATACTTCATAAGTACATTTTTCACATTTATTATCACATTTGATTATTACTTTTATATGAGGAAAGTAATATTTCCTTTATACTTTTTTATTTTTAACTGATAATAACTGTATATATTCATGGGGTACAATATGATGTCTTAATACATATGAGCAGACTGGAGTGATCAAACTAGGTTAATTAACATATTCATCACCTCACATACAGTACTAATCCTTTCTTTGTGGTGAGAACATTTAAAATCCACCCTTATGGCAATGCTGCAATTAAACACTTTGTGAAGTGGCTAATGTCACATAAATATTAATATTAATATTATAATAAATATTAATCCTATACAATAAATATCAATCCTAGCTGTTTTAAGTCCAAGATTTAAGGATTTAAGTCCAAGCTAGGATTTAAGTCCAAGATTATGAGGCAGGGCTCTCTTCAAAGCAAGATAACACTAGAATAAATAGGAAACTGCAATGTGTAAGTGAAGATAAAACTACTATAAATGTGAGCAACAGACAGGATTAGGACTCTTCCCTGACAGTATTTATGTCCTCAGTCTGTCCCTGCCTTCACCCTCTCAGGGTCCAAGAATTCCAGTCACATTTTAGAAGGTACTATCATAAGTGGAAGGTATATACTATATGCTTTCTCCCAAGTCACA